AGGAGGGAGGAGGAGGGGGCCTGCCGCCGCGCCGACCCCGCCTCCCGGGAAGGGCGGCCGGGAGCCGAGCCGGAGAGCCTGCCACGCACGCGGGGCCAGCGGGCGGCCCCTCCCCCTGCGCCACGACCCCAAAGAGGGAGGGCCGAGCTGGGGGCGGCCCGGCGGGATCTGCGGGGGCCGGGAGCTGGGGGCGCGAGGTCGGCAGAGGGGAGAGTGGTGGCCGAGCGGGGTCTCTGGAGGTTGGGCGGGGAGGGTGTCCCAGCGGGGTCTACGGAGGCCGGGGTAGGCGGCTTCTGTGGCCGAGATGGGAGGGGGCGGGAGGCGGCCGAGGTGGGGAGGGCTGTCGGGCTGGGTCTACGAGGCGGGGGCCGGCAGCCTAGGGGACCCAAGGGAGGGGATGGAGAGCTGGGTCGACGGGGGTCGGGACGGACGACTGAGCAGGGGCCACGGGGGCCCCGGGGATAGGCGGCCGAGGTGGGGGTGGTCAGGCGGATCGGTGGGAGGAGAGCCGGGGAGGAGAGTGCGAGCCCCCCTCCCTTTGCGACTTGCGCGGAGAAAGGAAATGAAGTGGGGCGCCCCGGGAGTCCTGCCCCTGGGAGTGGGAGTAAGAGGGCGGGAACAGACCTCCCCATTCCTTTCCGCTGGGAATCGGGGAAATCCCCGCCCCCCCGAATCCCACCCTCCGAGCCCGCCACGGGGCTGGGCCTTGCCTTTTTTCTGGGGTTTGAAGGCAGAGGCCAAAAGAGCTGTCTAAAAACCAGTCGCATCGGAGGCATGTTTGAGGAGAGTTAGCAAAGATTCTTGGACTGCGTGAAGTCTGTTCAAGGAAACATTTGTTGATCGTCCCACAGCCCAGTGAGTCCACTGGCGACTTTTTTCTGAAGCTCTTTCAACTCCATTTTGTCTTTGAGGGTCCCGCAGTCTGTCCACAGCTCCTACCACGGACAGGCTCTGTGCTGTGCGCTGGGAAACCAGCCCTGGCCGCACTCAGAGGGAGGCAGATCGGGGACGTGGCCCCTACTTTGGTAGAAGGAAGTAATGCCTGGGACTGTGCATAGCAACTTACATATGTTCTTAAAGCTTCACAAAAACCTCGCAAGGTAGGAATTATTTTACCCATTTTATAGGAAGGAAGCGGAGGCCGAGTCCCCACCCCAAATGATTGGCTCAAGGTCACACACAGCCATGATTTGAACCTGGATATGTGTCTTTTAGAGCCCGTGCTGCTTAATCACTTCGGAGTGGGAAGGAAACAGAGCCGCAGGGAAATTAAGCAACTTGCCCACTCTCACCAAGGCTGGTTGGTGCTGGGGCACCTCCACTCCACTGCTTTCCCCGCAACCTGGGATCTGCTGTGTGCCTGGCAATGAGCAGCAGGAGCGCTGTTTCTTCTGCCTGGAACCTTCTCACAGTTCTGTTTTCTAAAAAGACATTGTCTGTCGTTAAGGCCTAGTTCAAATGCCACCTCTTTCATGATGCCTTCCTTATAACACCACTTGACACCTCTCATGGGACTTAAAGACGGCAAATAATTGCAACAGAGGCATCAGGTATGTTAGTTCCATATAGCAAACCTTTGTTGAGGGCCCACTATGTGCCAGACAGCTGTCTGCAAACCGCCAAAGTCTCCTCTCTTTGAGGACAGGAACCACCATTGCTAATTTTGTTGGAGCTCACCTTATGAGGTGCTTTTTAAAAACTCTAGTGAATGAATGAACACATATATGCCTGCCTTCCAGGGGACTACTTTACATTTGGAGAAACGTGCAGAAATATTTTGAGGGCTAAATTATGCAGTTGAGAATATAAGTGTAATGAGAACTTGGAAAGCAAATTATGGGGCTGTATATTAGGAAGTCTTCTGGGGCAGAAAGTTCTTGAGCAAAGCCTTGAAGAATGGATTTGCATAGGAGGAGAGCGGGGACGATATTTCTATGGCGGAAATGGGGTGAGCCCAGGACACCTGTCTGACATGAAGGGTGTGTGCTGCGATGTAGGAAAGAAAGATGAGCTGGGTGGAGAGGGTCCAGATTGCAGAGGTCCTTAGAAGCCAGCCAGGCAGGCAGAAGAGTCGCTATTAGTCTGGGAGGCCAGAGTAAATTATAGCAGGTTCTGGACTAGAAATATAATCATCTGCCCCAGACAGAGGAATGTCCCCACTCCAGCTAAATACCAGGAGCTATAGTAGGAAACTCCTAGTTCAACAGGGCACACAACTCTGACCTAGGAGGGGGGAAAGGAGATGGCTAAGGAAAGAAGACTAACTCATCAGAAGGTGCTAGAAGAAATTTGTTCAAAAAACTTCAGCTAAGTTCAGATTGTGTTTAAAATCTCTAGCACACAAAAAAGCAGTCACCCTCCTTCAAGCCATCATCCATGTTAGGGCAAAGCTGTGATAACTTGCAAAGTGGCTTTGGGGGCCCAGTCAAGCTCTGGCCTGGGAGGCAGGAGCCCTGCTGTTTTAGCCTTAGTTCTGCCACCAAACTAACTCTGTAGCCTGGAGAGGCGTACTTAACCTCCTCTCTGGATTTCAAGGTCACCGCTTCTGCATCTCTAAAGACCTTTCTTATTATTAGATTAATCTATTTCTTAGAGAAAATAGTCATCTGATTGTTATTAGAAATAATTAAATACTTAAATTTTTACAGTTGATTCAGACTGTAGGCCAGATATAAGAATGGAAAATTGCTCAACTTTCTGCCTCTACTGAGCACTGAAATACTAGAGCATGGGGGAAGGGGACTGTTAATATTTTCAATGTTTCCCTCTGCCCCTTTGCTCTGGGAGGCAGTGAAGTATAGTGGTTAAGACACAGGCTCTGGAATAGACTGACTTGAGTTCAGATTCAGCTCCATGACTGACGAGGGAATATGACCTCTCTGAACCTCTGTGTCTTCGTGTGTGAGAGGGGGTTAATAAGAACTACCTCACCTGGTTGTTGTGAGGATTAAATGAGAGACACCATATAATACTGGGCATATAGCAGGGCTCAGTGAATGAAGGGTGGCTAATACAGTTTGCAGAATCGCTGAGTGAAAGCTTCTCTGTCTAGATTGCAACGATTTTCTTTCATCATTATTTTTTGGAGCTCCCATCACCATATGTGGCTTATAGACCACAGGCTCCAGTGTGTTGAACTTGAAAAAGCAGGCAGTGTTTTCCTCTGAAGCGTGGTTCCACTGTGGTGTTTGGCTACACCCAGAGGACAAGGTTGGTAAGTGGTCATGGAAGTGTGCCTCCTAGGGCAGGAAGGTACCGATGGTTCTTGGAGATTTCCATTCTTCTACCCCATTTTTGAGTCAGCACAGCATGCATTTAGAGGAAGTTTCCGTTCCTTTGCTCCCAATTTCTTCTCCTCTATCCTTTTTCCTCTTCATTCTCCCTAAAGTATGTTAGATGGTCAGAAATATGGGTGGAGAAAAGGAGGAGCCGGAGACAGCCGGAGGAGCTTGTGCAAAGACACTTCCGGACACCCTTGGACTACAGGGATCGTAAATTATAAAGTAGAGCTTTGTAAGCCTGCAGCCCTCTTGGTTTTCTACATTTCTAGTAGAAGGCCCCTATTACTGTTGATCGCCTCTTCTCTGGTCCAGGTTGACAAGACCCCCAGAGGCCAAGGCATGAGGCTGACTGCCCTGCGAACAGGCTGTGTCTTAGAGGTGGGGGCCTCCTTATATATAGTTCGGCTCTGGAGAGCTAGGACCACCTCTCCCAGCCTCAGTGGTTCACATTCCCAGGAGTTCCCCAATTCCAGAGGCTGTAGCTCCTTGCAATAGGGGAATTATTTCTTGGAGTTCGCAGCACCATATGTGGCTTATAGACCACGAGCTTCACCTCACTGACTCCCAGTTCTTAAAGAAGATAACCATAGTACCTACCTTATAAAGGCAATGTGAATATTGGTTTTCTCCTCCACATCTGCTCCACTCATAGTCTTCCTCATCCCAACACATACCAAGGACAGCCATCCACTTGCTCAGGGATCATCCTTGACCCCTCTCTTTCTCTTACTCGTCCCCCTACACCCAATGCAATATATTAGCAAATCTGGTTGGCTTTACCTTCAAAATACATCCAGCATCTCCCTCTTTTTGCAATCCGCACCACTACCACTGATCCGAGTCGCCACCAACTCACACTTGGGTTATTGGAATAACCTCATCCTGGCCTCCCTGCTTAAGCACTTGCTGCCCTGTGGTCAGTTTTCAACACAAAGCCAGAGCCATCCCTGAAACTATGTCAGGTCATGTCACACCTCTTTCCAAAAACCTCCAATGACTTTCCAAGTCAGTCGGACTCAAAGGCACAGTTTTTACAGTGACCCCCACGGCCCCAATGTTCTGGCCCTCTTCTTCTCTGATCTCATTCCTTCTTCCTTGCCCCTTGATCACTGCCATCAGCCACACGGCCTCCTTACTGCTCCTCAGTGGGCCAGATATGTGCCTAGCTTGGGGCCTTTGTAATTTTGTCCCTTGCGCCTGATGAACTTTACCCCAAGGTGTCCAGGTGGCCGTGTCCTTCACATCCTCAATTCTAAT